CATATATCACATTGGTAGATGTGCAGGTGAACGAGCCTCTGATAGTGTGGCTGATGTGATTAGGTCCTATGATGGTATCCCCTGAATAGATATGTGGACAGAGTTGGCAATGGGCTTTGTTGCAAGGATAGGTTCCTGGGTTAGTGTTTTTGTTGTGTTGTGTGTGGTTGCTGGTGAGTATTTGCTTCAGGTTTGGGGGCTGTCTGTAAGCAAGGACTGGCCTGTCTCCCAAGATCTGTGAGAATGATGGATCGTCCTTGTAGATCCTTGATGATGCGCTGGAGAGGTTTAAATTGGGGGCTGAAGGTGATGTATGAAACCTGTATGTATTCCATGGCTCTCCCTACCCAAAAACCCCCCCTCAAGTAGCCTTTGTAAAGGATGTGTATTTGAAGACTGTATACTGCAAGACCTTACTGTCATTTGCTGCTCCTGTTGAAGCAATGGGACTAAAACTCACAATAATAAGTACTGTGGCTGGTGGTATGCATTTGCAGGATTAGGTCTCTATTTTACAGGCACTGATATTCTCCCCCAAGGACATGCTACCCTGGTTCTGTTCATATCAAGAAGCATTATCCCTGATAATGACAGTACAGTTCTAGGAATATAATTAATTGATATTCCCCCTGCAGGGTCTGCTGCAGAACAGAACTAATTATTTTCTAGGTCCTACAGAAGTGAAACCCATTTAGAAAAAAATTTAATGACAAAGCAGTGGAGAATTATCAAATATTTATACAGTTAAATTCTCTCTCTCTCTTACTTGGCACGGGTGTTTTTTTCTTTCAGCTAGAAAGACATACATGCAGTTAGAATATAATGAAATACAGCTTTAATTTATTATACATTTTGCTTTTTTAATAAAAAAAATGTTTTCAAACCAAAGAGGATTTGGCGTATGTGTTCTGGCTATACATCTCTCTACAAGCAGGTCACCTTTAAAACTGATTTGTTGCATGTGGAGTGAAACTGCTTTATGAAAAAGATGTAGGCTATGTCATGGTAGGAAAAATTATCCCTGTAATTCACCACCGGTGCACGTTCACTGGTGGTAGCATAAGTGGATACTGAGGCATAGACAGGACACAGGCATTTTCACCATCATGGTATTTAACTTATGAGCAGTTAGATGACATAGGGTATGTCTACACTGCAAATAAAAAAGCCCCAGGGCAATGAGTCTCAGAGCCTCGAACAACTGATTTGGGCTCACGGGCCTTGCATTGAGGGGCTAAAAATAGCAGTGTAGATGTTTGGGCTCAAGCTGGAGCCTGGGCTCTGAAACCCAGTGAGTGGGGAGGGTCTCCGAGCTTGGGCTCCAGCCCAAGTGGGAACATTGACACTATTATTTTTAGCCCCATAGCAGGATCCCAAGTCAGTATACCTGGGCTCTGAGACTCGTTGTTGCAGGTCTTATTTTGCAGGGTAGATGTAGGGTTTCACTGGTGGTGAATTGTGTGTCTGATTTTTGCCAATGACAATACAATACACAGAGGGCTCTGATTTTCCACTA